TGCAGTCAACTGTCTTCTCTGAGCCCTGGTGGAAAGGGGTTGGTACTAATCCCTTAGGTGAAGCTGCCTCAAATTCATCTTCTATGGAACAACTAAATGGTTCAATGGCAAATGGAGCTGTCCAGTCACAAGCTCACGGTGGCTTGGGCAATGGAGGTAATTCCAGTAAAGAGAATCTGATTACTGTAAATCACCATCTCGGATTTCTCATATTAGTTAAAGATGGAATGCTTCTTTTTCATGCTAAAAGACCACAAGACCTCAGTTTTGGACAAGTGACTACTGTGATTTGGTAATTATAGACCCATGTTTTTACTGTTCTTAATCACTTTGCAGGATTGGTGAATCTGCCTCCATTCCTAACACTGATCAGTTTGTTATGATTTGACAAATGGAAGAAAATATGTGTTGTTTACTTCAAACTAATGTCTACTGTTCTTTTGGTCCATGTCATTCATTTACCTAGTATTTATATGAAAAAATTAGTTAGAAATTAGTTTAGAGGATGTGCTCATTTCTCACAGAACAAAAAAGGGGAAAAAAGAAAAAAGATGTATTATAGAAAATTTAAGGGACAAAAGGGTTATTTTGTGGACATTCCCTTCTAGTTGTTTGCTGTGTGCTTAATAAGTAGGAAATCATTCAACTATAACATGGTGATACCTTTAACCTCAGAACATTAATATCTCGAGCAGGGACAGTGAGGGATTGGTAAATTTTTTCATTTGATGTTTTCTAACTTCGTACTGGAGCGGTTTCTCCTAGTTTTGTGGATGCATGTTTAGAAGCAACAAAAAGATTCATGATTCAGTGTTTAGATTGTGGGCAGTTCACATGGTGGATTGGGTTTCTTAGGTGGTTTTTATGGATCATTACTCCAAAAATTGTCTATCACTGGATTCCATTTTCATTTTCTAGGAAGTTTCTGTAGATGAAGAAGATTATTCAAAGGAGCCTTCTTGTTTTCACTATGATCTTTAGTAATGTATCATTCCCAATAGGTTGCCGCCCCTGTGTAGACTCTTGGCTTGCCATTCTCTTCCCACTTTTCTCTATTCTACAAATCTACCAGATATATAGGAGGCTTTTTTAACTTTTTTTGGATTCCCCACACAGGTTTAGTGTTTTTGGGTGGGAACATATATCCATAGCATTAAGTTTCGAAAGCTAATGTGTGCTTTCTAAGGTTGTTGAGAGGACAGCAAAACCCAATTTAAACAAGATTGTGGAAATATCTGCATCCGAGAATGATAACTAGTGCTATGTGACATGTCTGCATGAAATTGAGGAAACGATGTGCTTTGTATTCATTGTGATATTGATGCAATCTTAGTTTTTGGATCAGATGGGAGAAATGGACAAGATCACCAACATCCCAAGCTTGTTCGTTCTGCAGCATCCCTTACTTTGGGTGAACACCTTGAACCAAATTCCCAAATGGAACTAGTTGGTCACTCAATTGTAAGGCCTTTCTCTCTTTCTCACACACACATTTACATACATGTCAAAGCATTCATGAACTTACTTCATGTTTCCGTCCTTGTACCTGCATTTTTTTTATCCTTTAAATGTCTATGAGTTTGCATTGGCTCTCTCTCTGACTGAGGAAGAAATCTTGCTCTAAACTTTTCAGGTCTTGACATCGTATCCCTATTCAAATCCTCAGTACAGTGGAATAATGACTTCATATGGGCCACAAACGATGGTATGCTCTGAGTATCTTGTTCTGTGGTAAATGGATAAAAGGAAAGACAGAGTGACTATTTTGCACTAGACAGACGTTCCTGATTACTAGAAAATGGATTTCTTTTTAAGCTATGACTAGAATAAGACAATGCATCTTGTTTCCTTTTGCCATGTTATGCATGCATCAATTTGTATGTATAAAACTTTCATTTTCCAATGGTAATGCTTCAACCTAGGATTATGGCTCATTTGCTCTTATATAGTGCTGTTACACTGCAGCCACGACTAGTGCTTTAAAGCACACACAAATGAGTTCATCCTTTCTTTGCTCTTGAGATCAAAACAAGAATTTTATTTCACAGTTTCTGTACAAATTGCGCAAGAGCAAATTTACCATATGAGTGACCCGACCATCATCTAACCTTTTTCTTTTTCAATTTACGCGAGTTATCTCTGATTTTTGCATAATTAATGTTGGTCATTGATGTCAGACTCTTGTTTTAGGAACTTATTTTATCTAAATGTCTTCAAATGAGTTTCATGTGTTTTCACTAGTGGGGATACAGGTTATGAACTCATCATATTGAAGGTTTAGGAGATGTATATAAGTAGTGCTCCACAAAAAACCAATGAACTTAATGCGTTCTCTTGCTAATTAAATTTGGGAAGTCAGAATTTTTCGGATAACTCCAACTATGTTGTGCCAGGTGTCACCACATCTATATGGAATGCATCATGCTAGAATGCCTTTGCCTCTTCAAATGGAAGAGGAGCCTGTTTATGTAAATGCAAAGCAATATCATGGCATTTTGAGGCGAAGACAAATACGTGCTAAGGCTGAGCTAGAAAAGAAAGCCTTTAAAGTTAGAAAGGTAGAATTGATATTTTTAGGTTTTGTTTGTTCCCTTTTTCCTTTCCTCTTTGGCTAGAAGAAATGTACAAATTAGGGTTCAGGACTCAATTCTGTTGCCATTGACTACAGCCATACCTTCATGAGTCTCGGCATCTACATGCTATGAGAAGGGCTAGGGGTTGTGGAGGTCGTTTTCTTAATACAAAGAAGCTGGATGATGACGTTACCAGCCCCACCTCAGAAGAATGCATGAATTCAGATGCAAACCTTTCAACCAAATCAGCTCACTTATCTGGGTCTGGGTGTAGATCTGCAAATTTAAATTCCTTCTACGATCAGAAAGAAGGAAACGGGTCACTGGTACAGGATATGCCCAAAGCACAGTCTTTAGCTAATGGTAACACCAATGGCCATTGTCTGTCATCAACATACCACTCATCATCTAATGATGCTGTGGAGGGTAACTACTTTGGCCAGCAGAGCAATATCGTGCAAGGGAATGTGGCACAAGATGGTGCCCCATCAATTAAATGAAATTCCTCCTTGAGGTGGGTGGCATTCTCCAGCTCTGCTTTGCAGGTTTGGCATTTGTTAACTCTTTTTTTATGTTCATTGTAGGATACGATGGGTCATTGTTTGTGTTTGTATCTAATGGGGGTCTTCTTGTATATAGGCAAAGCTGGAGGTATTTGGCCTTCGATCTTGGGTGGTGGAATCCCTCCCAGAGTGGCATTCCCCAGGCAATTCATTCTTGGCTTTGGTAACTCATGGTTAAGGGGTTATACGAGGAGATATGCGGTCTTTGGTTGATCTCCACTCTGCTAAGAGTTTGACATCCCTCCCATTGACCCCTTTGTAAAAAGGTAAATAGGTGTTGTATCTATCAAGTAGCAAACTAGTTGTGAATGTGCAAAATTTCAAACAACTTACATTTGAACATGTCAAAGAGCATGGAGACTTGTGTATGACTGAAGAGTTTTTTAAGTTTTCCATCATAATGTGGCCATAATAATGTAAAGTGGCGCCTTGTGTTGCTGCTGCCTCTCTCCCTGTCTTTCATATGTATTGTAGTGATGGTCCGGAGACTTGGTACATTATATAAACTGTTTGGAGGGATGTGGTGATTGTCTCTCGGAGAGTGAAAGCGTGCATTTTTCATGGCTATTGATGCCACACTTTGGCGTGTCTTGCTTACAAGGTTATAGTTAACGTATGAATGTTAGTATTTGTTAAAGTTTGAAACTAAGTTGGAGAAGGAAGGGCCCTCCCACCCACCATAGAGGATTTTGAATCCAGTTGACCAATCAACCTTCTCCACTCCAGTCTTCATGTCATATATATATATATAGCTTTTCTACAAGAGCTCATAAAGGTCCGGCTCAAGCAGTATTGCAATGCTCCTAGAAAGTAAATACTTTGTATTCGTTCGATGTTTATACTATCCTGTAAAGCGAAAATGAAGGTTGAGAAGAGGAAAATGGATTGTTCAAAGCCCAGGCGTGAAGGCCTATGAAAGGAAAAGGCAGCAATAATCTTAAGCCCAGAACTAGGCCCCCCAGCCCTGAGACAGAAGGGGAAAGATTAGAAAAACTCGACACCCAAGGGGAGGAAAAAACCTATTCTCACTCTGTAGGGCCGCCGCTCTATCTAGTTCCCTGTCTACTGATTCAATTCCTGCCCTGGTTTTTTTTCTTCTTCTTTTTTTTTAGCATCTCTGCGTTATTTTTGATTCTGTCAAAGATTTTATCAAATTGTTTTTCATATCCTTCTTTTCGTTTCTACAAAAATGGCGATTTTGTTTTAGAAGTCATGTCATAGTAGTTGGTGGTGAACTCTGGGTGGTATGATCCCTGTGAAGAAAAATTTAGTAATCAGAAAATGTGCCTGAAAGACGTGAAATATTTGGTGCTCCCTTTCAATTGCAGAGGTTGAGGAACCAACCAACCAGCCCATGTGTTTCAGCTTCATGCTGGGTTGATATCAGGCAATCTGAGGGATTCATCACAGCTTCTGGGTTTTTTTTTTTTCCTTTGTTCTGCATGATGCATCATTGCCTGTTCATTTCTCTCAATTGTTTTTGTATTTATGATGGAAACTTCTTAATCCATTGCAAGCTTGATAAAAGCTGGATGAAACTTCTTTATTCATCCACATATCAAACAAAAACCTGCAAAATCAAGCTTTAGTTATCTGCAGAAAAGATTTTCAAGTTTCCATTGGATGTGGTTATTCTACTTGCACCACACAAAAATCATACTTAGAAAGCTGATTTTTCTGGCAGTAAGTTTACCCTTCTTCCACTTAAGTTCATTTCATATTCTTATTTCCTTAAAACACTTCTCCAGGAAGCTATCAATTGCGCCCGGTGGTTTATAAATCGTCCTGTTACCTTACTGTCAATCCCATAAATTTAGCCCTTCCGACATCCCATAAATTTCAGATTGCAGAAAGCAGAGCAGTCTTTTAGAAAAAGAAAAAAAATAAACAATAAAACCATGGCCAAAGAAAGGATCTCAGTTTTGGTAATGGTAAGGGGTTCGAAGGGAACTGAAACATTCTTAAAAGACGCTGACAGTATCTTCTCAGTACGTGGAGTTATACCCTTATTACAAGCATTTTAGTTGTAGTTTTGGTATAACTATACATGGACAGCCCGACAGGGATTAATCTTATAGTAACAAACCACAGGTTATGAAGTGTAGAAACCAAGGGAATCGTCTCCAGGATCTTAATTGTCTGAAAACTCGGGTGTGTTTCAAGACGTCTACGTGCGATCTCTATTTGGCTTGTTCATGGAGTTGTTCCTGTTCCACAAGATGCAAAAGTAAGCAGAGAAAATTTTCAAAATCTTTGAGAAAAGAAAGGCTGACATCTTTTCTCTTTGGTTTTTATTTTTGGGCTTAAACTGTAAACTTGGCAAATCCTACTTCAAACGGGGATAAGCCTAGTTTTGGCACCGTGGGGCAGCAGCCGAATCACGTCTGTCTTATAAATTCCAATATCTGAACAGTGGAAAGCTAATGGAAGTACTTCAAGATATACTAACCTCGGTCACAAAGAAAGCATGGAAGCCGTAAGGAACCATGTGAGGTAATTCAACAACTGCAACGGGATCTGCTGACATTGTTTTTGCGTCAATCACATTTACTGATGATTTTCTGAACAGTCCAAAAGGAAAAGAATCAAATCAGTTGGCAAGTTGACCAAATTTCAAATAGGCCTTCATCTTAAAAAGACCAAGGTAAATGGAAATTTAAAGGAGCAATTGGATCACAGTGACTAGTTCCTTCGATTCTGAAATGAAAATAGAGACAGCTATATAGCAGTAAGGGCCCTACAAATATGTTCCTGCTCATGCAATTGAGGGAATTGCGACCCTAACATGTACAGTGCAATGAGGCATATTGTGGGCAAGGCTAAATATTCAATATTTACAGGAAAAGCATCAATGAATGTGACTGATACTTGGCTTAAAATTTATGTAGAGATTCCATTTTTACAATCAACAAAACTTATTTCTATCAATCAATCAAATATATTCACCAAAAAGGGTAGCTAAAAATTTAAAACTCTCGGCGGGGATAGAATCACTGCTTCAATATCTCACTCTTGCACAAAACTAGTCTTTTCATCCTCAAATGGTATGCAGACAGCATTTTGGTTGCCAAGGCGTGTTTAGAGAAAATTACAAATGCCAAGTACAGATTGGAAAATTTAATAGGCATGCGTGATGCAATAGAGTAGAAGTAATTCTCTCTCATTCAAAAAGATAAATGAAGTTCATGAATAGCAAGAGAAAGGGAGAGGCGTACCCAGTATTTTCATCATGTACAAAGAATATCAAGTAGCCCTCGTCCTCTTCAGAAGTGGTCCCTGGCTCACGAGGCACAAAAATAGCTTCTGAACCAAATCTACCAGGACCCAAGTCAAAGAGGCCTTGAACATTCCCCCCAACTTCAATCTTTGCTTTTCCCGCCTCTGGTTCAGCATGCAGATCAAACTTCACAATCCCTGTGACTTTTGCGATGCTGTCCAAAGTGGTTCCATATACGTATCTTTGTTTTCTAAATTCACACAAGAGAAGCAATAAGTAAGAGTTTGAGTGAGATTAGAGAAAATGACCGTAAGCAAATGATAAGTGCACTATAAACTTGATCCAAAGAAGTTTAAAAGATACATATTTTCCTCTACATGCTTTCAGATTACTAACGCCACAACAGATACATACCTGCCAGTGTAGGATTCATTCACCCTAGGGAAATCAACAGCAGAGACTGATAATTGCTTTTGTGAAGCAAGACCAGTTTTCATGTTGAACCTCATTTCATACCTGATTTAAATAACAAGAATGATAAACAACTTTGCAGTACAAAGATCATCCTACGAATTCACATAAAAGGTCAGAGTTCTCACAGCTCATTGTTAAAATTTTCCAGTTTCTCTTTGACCTCCCCATTGACCATGTCCAGATCTGGATTCTCAAGGCGGCAAGTGATCAGAACAATTTCATCCTCCTCCTCCCAAGCATTGGCTAGTAACAGAAAGTCATTAAAGCAGTTAGATTCCAACCTATTCATGTAGAAAGAGCAAATATATGAAGCATAGTTTAGAAACATAATGAGAAGAAACCATGTTTCACAGAAGAATTATACGTCTTTTCTGTTGGTAGCTGAATTGATAGTAACTAATTAATAGAACTACTGAGAAGATGGAAGAATAGTTCCTAAGACAAAGAAGGAAATGACTTAACAGATCAAGGATTGAGTTCAGGAAGTTTGATAAAAGTCATGTACTAGCTAAGTGTCAAACATAATTGTGTGGCCACTCAACTGATTAGATAATAATCGTCAATGCAAATCACTGAGTCTATCAATTATCTCTTTTTTCTTTTTGAAAACAAGGAAGAAATCTCAAGTTAAAATGGGTATCAATAAGTCCATGGACAAGTTGATGCTAGTGATGTTTGGTGTCCTTGATAAGCCACATAACCATATAAAACATAGAAAGTAACTCCTTCTCAGAGCTGATTAAATGTGAATGTTACTGATGAGAATATGCAAATCGACAAGTATCAGCTACTAATGACCTGAAACTATCTAATAAATCTTAATTTCCTAGAAGAAAGTTTGGAACGTAAACAATGATAAAATGCAAACAATACCATTATGAAATATAAAGCAATTAGGAAGCTCGAACCATCTGATTAGAAGGTCGTCCTTTGCATATCGTGGAAGCACACCAAAACGGGCCTTCTTTGAAGCATCAAATGAGTATATCATCTTCTTTTCTTTAACCATCTCCTGAAAGTTTAAATGTCAGCAATCAAAAGATGTAATCGTTATGATTCACAACAATGATATCAGAAGCCAAGATTCCATCAGTTCACATGCATAATTTCAGTTACCCACCAACATAAAAGTTTTTAAGGAGAAATCAAATAGCATTTTAGGAACCCAAGTTATATATCAACCTATACAAAGTTTTTAAAGTTGGTATTCTGATAGAAAGTGGCATACCTTTGGTCTGAAATGCAAAGGAAGATCTAAGAAAATTGCATAGTTCTCAGTAATCGCAAAGTCATGCATCATGATTGGTTCTGATATTGTTATTGGTACCGGGTCGTGCATGAAACCATCTTTTGAAATGACTCTGTATGTGATATATGGTGGCTCGTGTGAATACCCAAAAGTAAACATCTCACCTGCATGCAGAAATCTCATAAATCAAAAGCACTTTTGCAACTCTCTAACTAATAATTTACTGATTTCTTATTTAAATGGTGGGTCTTACCTGTGACTGGATCGACCTTCGGATGAGCAGTGAAGGAATGTGCCAGCCTCTGGTCATAATCAAGCATGCCAAGGGTTTGGAGATCTCCATCCTCGAAAACTTTAAGGACATCTGCTTGTTGCAACAGGGATTACAATTTAATATGCAAGTTTCAATGAAGAAAAACATAGCCCGTAAAACAAAATAAGAATTGCAAATAAATGTAAATTTTAGTGTCCTTAACCCTCCTCATTCTTTCTTAAAATGAAATTGATAGAGAGAAGAAAAAATTACAAGGTTTATCTGCCTCTTGAAGTGCTAGAAGTTTCCCATGATGATATATGAGAGCTGTATTAGCTGTGCAAAGATGATACGCCAGGTCAGATTTTCACATCAATAAGATAAGCATTTTAAAACAGGTGAACTACCAGTGATGAGCATTAACAAAAAATTGAAAGGGTAGGGTGGGGTTGTTTCCAGACTGCATTTTGGTGGATACATGTGCCCTGGATTCATGGAATAAATTGGGGGACAAATAAGTTTTGGGAGCTCCCAGTAACACTTCCCAAAGGGCACCAGATCAACCATGTATCAGAATGAAGAATATAATCCATTCTAGCTCACTCAGTTTTTCACTAATATTTCCTTAAGTGATGGTTTGGAGAAATAAAATTGAGATCTTAGAATCATTCAGCCATATCTTTGCTTTTTATATATGTAACAGACACCAGGGCATACAATTACTGGCACCCAACCCTGATACAGCATAAATGCATATAACAGAACTAGCTGAAAGTTCACACCTTGAATTCAATTCATTGTCTTGCATTTCAGTAGAAACAGACTCAACAAATTTACCTGTCCCATATCCATATGATAAATCTAACACTTTAGCCTTTTCTCTCAGCTTCTGTATGTTGACCATGAGTAATCCAAAAAACCCTTTAAGGTCTCCAACCTGCAAAATGACATATCTAAGAAGAGAACAATGACATGTCCTAGATAAGCATTTGAAACATAAGTTTTCTACAGTTAAAATTAATATCCTAGTGCTTCTTTTAAAGTCATGGAACTGTCATTGTAGTTCCAACACTGTTTAGATTTCATAAGGGTACACCACTTAAGAGCAGCTCAAGGAAATAAGAAATAGCCAGTACAACTTTGCAATGCTTTATATCCCATTAATTTATGAAGCAAATTCCCCTGTAAATAGCACAACAATGCATACAAAACAAATCATTAATTAGAACTAATAATCTAACTTTTTTCAACCTTTTCTTGTCAAGAAGGTAACTTGCAAGGTATACCTTCATAAATTTAGCACCTCCAAAATATTCTTCTTGTTTAATACGCGATGTCCTCACAAAACGGGAGACATATGTTGCCTTTCCATCTTTAATGCGCATACCATGAATCATTCTACAAATTCCAGAATTAACAGTTTACTATGGCGCACTAAGTAAAGTAACAAAGCAAAGACCAATATTTGAATTGGCATGTTGAGCAGCATCCACATAAATATGCAATAAATTTGCAGTGAAATGAAGTAATATTACATAAATGGTTTAGTGTAAAAGTTAACGTACCCATCTCCATCAAACCTGTAGGCAGAGAAATTAAAAAAAGAAAAAAGAAAAAAGAAAAAATGGAATTAGAAAGGATGGGTACATAGTTAGCAAATCAAAACTAAAACTAGATTCAAAACAAAAACAGCTGAGTTGGACATATGATACCAGTGATATGCAGCCACAGGGGAAAACTTCGGGTTGGGCCCGACCCTGACAAATTCACCATTCAAGCATTCCTGGAAATAACAGAAAATATTAGCAACATGCAGATGATAGAATATTGAACAAAATTAAAACCATTTAATCAATCCATTCACAACCACTTTACCAAAGAATCAGTAAAGGTAAACCCTTTAGTTAGAGAAAAGAAGTAATAATAATAGTAAAAAAAGAATACACTGTTTCTCTTCCGTAACTACCAAGCAGAGACTTTCAATGAGAATAAGCGGAAAAATTGTAGCAGGTGGTTAAAAAATGTAAAGTAGTATTAGTAGTTAGTATTTGCTTACAGGGAGGTGGCCTTTGACAGGAAGATCTTTGGTGGGAGGAGTTTCGTTGGGGGCGGGAGCGAAGTTACCAGACAGGTAATGTTGAGGCTGTGAAGAATCGTACATGAGCTTAACTATCAACTTCTCCAACCAATCAATCAGCTTCGAACTCATCCCTTTTTGCGGCTTGGGATTCACCTCAACAATTCCCGCCCCAGCCCCTCGGCGGACGCCGTTCACCAGCTTCTCCTCTTCCTCCGCCATCTATCTCTGCCTCCAATAACAATGGCCAGTGATCAAGCAAGATAGTGGCTGGCTATGTGTACGTATCAATCAGTGGCCTCGTCACGTTGGCCTTGTCCTTTGTTGGTGTATGAAGTGCCACGTCATATACTTTTCCATTGATAATTATACTCTAACACATTATTTCTAATATTTTTTTATGTCTCGTATTTAATATTATTTTAAAAGAATTTCCTAAATGAGTAAATGTGGATAATTCTTAAGTATAAAACAAGAAGTCAAATTTTGATGCCGGATTTTTCCTCCTGGGAGATCCCTTCCACTACGTAACAATTCATTGCCAACCAAATATCAAGAAAAAGAATTTAGTTGGCATTTCCAAAATATTTATCAACCACAAACTCAAATGTTTTTTCTCATCAACAAGTTATATTTGATTCAAAATTTTGAGTACAAATTAATATACATAATACATATTTTACGTGGGTAACAAAGCATTAATTGTTCATTATTATATTATATTGCTACTATTAAATACGAGGAGGACCATAGCAAAATGATTGGGGCTGCTGGTGACAACATATTAGGACTTTTACCTTAATTTGTAAATTTTGTTTCTTTGTTCTGGATTCATTTTTAATGTACAATAAAAAGCATGTCATGAATAATTGATTAAGTAGAAAACAATCATTGACTCAAGTGTAATAAATGCATATTAAATTAGAATTTCTTTTCAAAAAGTACATTATTATCATTTATATTGAATTAAATTAATATCTTTTTAAAAGTATAAATTAACTAATCAAATATTTAAATATTTATTATTTTTTAATTTGAAACATGTACATATTGAAATAACTTCTTATACTAATTAAGTACTAATTATAACACGACGACGATGGTTGTCGACGGATTGAATTGTACCATTGATGAGTATAGAACCCAATACACAAGACGGAGAAGAATTTGTATGGCCAACCATGAAACAAGAAATGGCTATGCCGGGCATGAAGGAGGAAGAAAAAGAGGAGAAGAAGATGGGTTCAGGCAGCACTTGGCCAAGAGTAGGGGAGGCCATGGTCATGGGGACTAGGCAAGCGTCCAACCCCTTCGAAGAAGAAGAAAGCATAGGTTATTAGGAATTCAGGAAGGCGTACTGCTTGTTAATAAATAAGAAAAATATTATATGTTATATATATAATTTTGGAATCAGTTTGTTGGATTGGGTTGTTAATTTTAGATATGAAAAATAAAATTGAATAAATTTAAAAAACTTATTATTATAATTGATTTCCGACCGAAATTAAATTAATTTCAAATTTCTAAATCCATTCATCTGCTCAATTATATCGATTTTGATCAGTTGTATTCACCTCTACAAAGGACGGCTTTGGGCGCACTGACTCATATATTCATAGCCTAAATGGCATTGGGTCCCAAATCCTCCACACCTGTTTGTAGCCTACTAGGCTTTAAGAAAGGCCCACGTGACTCATCATCCTCTAACTTTAATTTACCAATTTTATTAGTACCACAAAATAAGAGTGATGTAGTTTCAACTTTCAATTTTGCCTTTTTTTTTTTTTTTTTGCTTTTTGGCTTGGCCTTTGGGTTATTACGTCACGAAAGCAAGAAATCCCATAGAGATACCAAAAACCCGAGTTACCAGAAGACTTGACGGACTAAACAATCCTTCGTCCCTCTGCCTCCATTTCCATCCAATACACACCGATGAAAAGTCTATAATTACTGCCTGCCTTCTCTTGGCACCACCAAAACGGACATGCAAATCCCTTTGCCATACTCACTCTTCTATCACCACCTTTCATAAATTCTTACCGAATTTCTTACGATCAGAGCCTGGGACAAATCCCATCTCTAAAATCAGGAACAGTGCTTGTAAAATGTAATATGCAATCTACTCTTATAGCTCCACGACCACCATGTGTTTTCTGCCGTAGTCAATATTTTTCTGGTGGGTTTTTACATGGTCATGTGTCACGATTTTACATGGTCCATGACCCTAATATGCAATCTACTCTTATAGCTCCACGACCACCATGTGTTTTTTTGCCCTAGTCAATATTTTTCTGATAGGTTTTTACGTAGTCATGTGTCACGATTTTATAAAAAAGTTAATAAATTCAATATTAGTTATGTGCTAAGGTACGATTAAATATTTAAAACTTCAAAACATCTTTAATTTATATTTTTTTAAGATAAAATCATGAGATTGAAATGGATAATGTTTTACAAATTGATATGAATAATGACATTATATTTATCTATTATAAATCTCTAATTACGAATAATAGATCACTTGATGATATATTTAGAAAAAGCTGCAGTAGACAGAACAATGACCCTTAGGACACCATTATTTCCACTAGGTCATTATCACCTGTTTGATATTCCTTGCATACTAGAAAAAGATAATCTACTTTCTCGCTTTATTTTATCCCATATTTGGTCCACCATTTCCGCCATGTTCTTTTTGCCTAAACCTCTACAACCGGTTACCAAATTCTTTCATCTCTCTCTTCTTTATTGGGTTTTATGAGATTTGCATGACGGTATTCTAGTTCTAGTTAAGAGAGGTTGGCAGTTTGGAACTTTGGATGCCAAATGGCATTAATCAATTCAAATCTATCTACTAGGGGGAGGGTCAATGTTTGGTGTATCCCATGCTTTGACTTTAAACTCCACCATCAACTGTCAAATCTAGAGGGATATTTAACCCTTGTATAGATTTTCTAAGAGTTTCCCAGTTTTTGATAGATTAAAAAGCGGCAAATATTATTGTGTTATTCCCAATTATTCCAAAAGAAAAGCAATCCTGCTCGAAAGAGGTATTACGACTGCCTTCGTTAATTTTTCCAATCATACGAAAAGAAATATGGAAATCGTGTGTATTTTCCGATATAACCAAACACATGGGCTACGTGAAACCCCATTTGTGAATGCATCTATACCACTTATGTACGTTACAACGGCTTATAACGAAATTGAAAGTGGTGAAGTGAAAGTCTTGCCTTTGGATTATTATGTCATGAAAACCAGAAGCCTCCTGGGAATGGAAAAAACACGACAACCCAAAGTCACCTTACGACTTGAGATCACTCGACACACCAAACCGAACAATGCTCCATCTCTCCTCTCTGCTTTCAGAATTCAAACACACCACGGTAAAGCATGAAGGGTCATGTTTTTCCTTTCTTTCTCTCCACCCCTCGAAGCACACGCAAATCCCATTCTCTTACCTCAATCTTACCTTCTTTTTGCAATTTCCCTTGCACCAACGGCTAAATCACCTACATGATGCTAACTTCGCTAACTTGCCCAACCAAACCAAGGCCCTCCCCCTCTTTCTCTTTGAAGTTTTGATATAATAATGACATGTACACATGGTGATCATAAGGTCATCCGGTGCATGTATACATATGTATGCATGCACATAGTTTTTGAGTATTATCAGGCAAGAATTTCAGGAGAGAGGATCAAAGTTGACAAACCTATTTTTGGAAATATATATATATATATATATATATAGTAACTAATACAAGAAAACCATGCTTTAATTTGTCACTATAAGTATACGATTATAGTATATCTATATGCCATATCTTAATCATGTGATAATTTTTGGGACACCAAATATATTGCCTTTGTGCATTAATGATTTCAATCAACAGAAGTGATTGAGTAAATATAGACGGGCTCCTTGTTGGTTGACTGGCTTTAGGAGAGTCTTGGTCTGTTTATGTGAAACCAATATTGTTTCTAACAGCCCGTAAAACAAGAGTAAAATCCCATTAATGAAATCTTAGTGGGCTTAGAAAATGGGATTAGATCTTCAATTTAACAATGATGATGAGGAAATGTTTGACATAGATGTTTGAAAAGAAAATCTGTTATTTGTTCAAATTAAATAAATTAGTAGCTAGCTAGCAGTCAAAATTGAGGACTTTACAATAACTGCTCTTTGGCCTGATCAGATGGTCAAATTGTATAGTATCAGGTGCTTTTTTCTAACAAAGAATAGGTGGATTAATACCAAAACTCCATACCCGAAGCTTGACAAATATGTGAAGAACTGTACCTAACGCATCCTAATGCAAAATGCACATCCAGTAGCACATGTTTGATTTTTCTTTGCTGACAGGAAGGGATGGCAGGGAAGCATTAGAAGTGTATGAGGCATGTGTATGGCAAGCGAGCGAGCATGCATGCTTGCATGGATCTGAACCGAAATGAATCCAATATGTCAGCTGCATATGTATGACTGTACGCATGTACCAGAATTCAGAAGAAGGCATGTATGTTGGTAAACAAGCACAAAATAACAACTAACTAAAGCTTTTCGAGTTTCTCCATTAGTTGAAGAAATGTGAATAAAGAAATAGGCTAGACGCAGCCAAGCAACCCTTTCGTCTCAATTTCTCGAATCTCTTAATCCATACCTTCTCTGACTTCATGAGCATTCTCTCAGACCTAAACTGCCATTGCTTCTCCACAAACACATCTCTCTCTCTCTCTCTCTCAACATATCATTGTCGAACAGCAACTCCCAACCCTTTACTATAAATATATGTGTGCACTTAATGACAAAGCATAATCAATTCATAGCTCCTTTTGCATATCACTCCAAGATTGTCTTTTGTCTCTCTTCTAAAAGTGAAGATCAGAATGTTCCTAAAAAGCCATTGTCGCCCACTTCTCATTACATTAATCTCTTTGTCCTCTTGTTTTGGCAGTTACACAGAGGACCCATTTCACAATGATTTTCGTCAAGGCCATGGTTATCGCCCAACAACATATCATCCATATTTTCGCACTTTTGGCGTTTCCAACCAAGGAAACTACCATAATCCCAACCCTGCAAATCTGTTCAACTATAATAATGAGATTAGGCCTAGGCTTGCCAGAGCGCGTGCTCCGGTGTCTTCGAAGGTAGTGAATGTCGATGATTTTGGAGCTAAAGCTAATGGAAGAGACGATTCCCAGGTACCCTTTTAATAAGGAAGGACTATGGTTCCACTTCAACTCTATTTTTCTACCCCATCCTTTTTCTTTTATGTGCTCTGTTTCCCTTTGATCACCACTATCCTGGGAGTCAGACACAATTCATTGGTTGACATTTGTGTTTAGGCATTTAAGAAAGCTTGGAAGTACGCTTGTTCTTCTTCTCAAGGAGCTGTTCTGGTGGTTCCTAGGAACAAGATTTATCGTCTTAAGCCAATTGATTTCTCAGGACCTTGCAAATCTGCTCTTGTGTTGAAGGTGAGATTTGGCATGCATGTATGCATGCATGCTTGCCTCAGATGCTCCTACATAAACAATCTCCCACGCACACATACTACTATATACATTCAAGCATAAGATGAACTGTTAAATCACTCCATTAACATTTTTCCTATATATATATATATTTTATCATGATAGATCTATGGAACAATCAAAGCCTCCACTGATCACTCTGATTACCAAAAACATGGAAGACGATGGCTTTACTTTAATAATGTTCAAAATTTAAGAGTAGTAGGTGGAGGCATCATCAATGGGAATGGCAGAACATGGTGGGAAAAGTCCTGCAAGATCAACAAAGCCCTCGTATGTCATTTTTCATCAGATTAAATTTCCAAATTAAAACTTTGTCAATTTGTATCAATAAACAGCTAATGCTTCTGCCATTACTCTGTTTTTGTTTTATCATTTTGCAGCCTTGCAAGGATGCACCAACAGTAAGTTTCACATCCCTTCTCATTTTTTTACATATACTTGCCTTAAACTATCTGATATTTGGAGATATTATTGTTTCATATAGTAATATTAAACAAAACTGTTTTTGCAGGCTGTAACCTTCTATGAATGCACTGACCTGAAAGTGGCAGGCTTGCGGTTTAAAAATGCACAGCAAATGCATCTTACATTTCAAAAATGTGTCAATGTGAAAGCCTTTAATCTTTTCGTGACTGCACCTGGAAACAGCCCCAACACCGATGGAATCCATGTCACTGAAACCCAGAATATTAGCATCAAGAACTGTGTCATCAGGACTGGTAATTGATCCAGGCAATCAAGTTACTTTACCAGATTAAAAAACAGCACTTGAATAAATCAGGGGACTTCTAAAATATCAACAATTTCTTTGCTGAACAATTCATCTGATGCAATTGCAGGTGATGACTGCATCTCCATAGTGAGCGGCTCCAAACATGTCCGCGCCACGGGTATAACTTGTGGACCGGGCCATGGAATCAGGTCTCGAATTCAACACTAGTCAATCAAACTTTTGACCTACTGGATTTCAACTTTCTTGTTCTGCATTGATTCATGCTTGAAATGTTTAGAGTAAATTTCCCGATGGGATTTTATTGCAATTTGTTTTTCTTTGCAGCATTGGGAGCTTAGGAGCTGGAAATTCTGCAGCTTATGTGTCCGATGTAATAGTGAATAAAGCAAAACTTTCAGGAACCACCAACGGAGTGAGAATAAAGACTTGGCAGGTACGAGCTTTCTTTTGAGTGAGACTAAAACTCTTTGATTGCGGCAGGATTTTGTAAATACAAATGGTTTCAGCTACCGGTAACAAAGGAAAACTTCATTGAACACTACAAAAAAATTGGGCACTTTGAATTTTAGTCAAAAAAGTTGAAAATCTGTTTGAAATCTTGGCTTAATTTTGCTAAAATGGTTCGCTGAGTAGGATCCTGAGGTTGCTCTAATTGATCCATCAGGAAGGAAAAAAGGGTTGCTCCAATTAAGCCGCAATACTTGCAATAGATTACGAACAGATACAAGAACTTGAGGGCTCCTGGAAAACTCACCAAACAAGAGGAAAAGTTAACCTGCTAAACTGTGAATTAGGAATGAAAATTGGTTTCTGGTAATAATGATTTCAACAAGCCAACTACCTCTTTTTTCTACCTCTAACTTCACAGATAACCTAGATTTAACAATTTTCTACTTACTTGTTGACTTGCCTGAGAATTTGACTACCTAAATTTTGGGATGACAAAGATGAGAATTGCCAACGAAATTACTATATATAGTTTCAAACTTCAGATTACTGTATGTTCACTTGGTGTAATTTGTATTTAGGGAGGATCCGGGTATGCCAAGAACATCAAATTCCAAAATATTGTGATGAACAACGTCAGCAATCCCATAATTATCGATCAAAACTATTGTGATCAGCGAAAACCATGCTCCAAACAGGTAAAAATGAAAAAAGCCATTAACCCCTTTGACCTGGAGATTACAAACGTGTATATCAGAGCATTAACCATGTCTATTGACTTGCCAGGATTCAGCTGTGCAAGTGAGCAACGTGCTTTACCAAAACATCAGAGGAACCAGTGCCTCTAACGTGGCATTGAAATTCGATTGCAGCCAGACCTTTCCTTGCCGAGGGATTTTCTTGCAAAATGTGGCTTTAACACCACAAGAAGAAGATATTGCAGAGGCTTCCTGTTCTAACGTTAGATTATCTTACCAAGGGAAGGTTACTCCACCTTGCTCAACCTGAAAGGACAAGGGGACAACCCCTTATTCATTAATTAATCTGTTAAAAGTGGTTGCTTCTCACTTCTGTACATTGAGAAATCAATTATTTTTATGTTGAAATGCTTAATTCAGTTAGATGTCTCTTCTTTATGCCCTTGAAAATGACCTTTTTTTTGTGCAAGTTGAATAAAAATCAATATGAGTTTGTTGTTTCATCATGTCTTGTATTCAAACTTTAGCTTTTTATATTATTATATAAACATATTGTATTATTATAACATATATAATAATACTATTATAAAAATTTTAATTAATTCAATTAATTGATTAATCGGTTAAAATTTCATTATCGATCATTTTCAATTGATTTAATTAAAAAAAATTTCTTAACCAAATTAACTGTTTGCTACCCTTAAATGCATGTAAATTATACTTAAATTAACAAATTCTAACCACTTTTAGTGTCTAGCATGTATAGGTTATAACCAGGCAACAGTGTGCCTATGGCTCTAATTCATATACAAAATTAAGCTTAAATAAGAGTGTGCATGGCTTTTTGCGTGGTGTATTTAGGATAATAAAATCAAGAAACGTCTGATTCTCTTCAAATTATGCTACTAAAAAATTGTCAAATTAATACATTAAAGAAACTACATTTGCCCACTGAGTAAGAAGTTTTGCAATGGTATTAAACAATGGGGAAACTACTCTCCTCATATTCAATGAATTAGTTTAATGGGGAGCTAAGCATGACAAAACACAAAGTGCCAAGGAATGGGTACGATCTACATTGATTTAGAGTTCACATGTGAACCGAAGCATTGTCAGGGAGAGGGAGGAAAAGAGCAAGAACATCCCAACCACCCGCTTCTTTCCCTTTTATTTCACAATAAAAAAAGAAGCTTAGGCAGACAGATATCGGGGGACCCTGTTGATTGAAGAGGGTACTCTTTGAATTCAGGTTTCTTGTCATTCCGAACCCAAATCAGTCTAATTCTTTGGCCTTTTGTCTAGACGCCTAATGTGCAACTTCGTCCTTGGTTTTGAGAATGTTGGAACCTGATATGGGCAAAGGAACAATGTAATGATTGTTTGAATCCCGAGAGAAAAATCCACTTCTTCTTTTTTTTTTTTGTTTTCCTCAAAGTATTGGATGAAAGCAAATAAGTTTGGTGGGATCCTGTCATCTCAAATCCATTATATATATTTCTAATTATAAGAAGATTAAGGGGTCGAATGTACCTTTTTTTTCTTCAACATGTAGTCGAATGATCATCTAATAGATTCCTAGTAATAGCCTATCATCATCTAATTATTGAAGGAAAAAATATTAAAAAAAGCATCATGTTATTTCCTTTTTCATCTAATTAAAATATAAGGGGGTGGGTGATGATAAATTAGCTAATCTGAAATTGAAGAGTATGAATTCAATGAGAGTCTAATGGATATTGACTTCCCTCAAGGCATAGGCATTATCAACTAATTATTTATCATATTTTTTTGGGTTTTTTGGAAAAATCATAACCAAATAAAAAGGCAGTATTAGTCACTAATAAAACAATGAAGGGAAACGAGAATATATATTTCAAATTTGAATCTGGTTAAGATATAGTTATGGTTAAATTTTCCATTTTATGCAATGAAGAAATAACTTATCCTTCCTCTCTCTGTCTCTCTCTTTATTATATTTATATCTATATGTATAATTTATTAATTTATGTATACACACACCTTAAACTTAACTGAAAGGTAATGAAAATGCAATGTCCCTTCAGGCATTCAGATTATGGATTTTTGGCCCACTAAGATGCGACTGAGACAGATAGAATGACCAAAATGCAAGTGCCAAGCCCCAAGCTGAAAGTGTTATGACCGACACATGGACAAAAATGGAAAGGGCATGGCTAAATTCAGGATTCTAAATTACTAAAAAAAGGTTTATTGGGGAGAGGGAGAAGGGGGTGAATGATTAGTTAGAGGGAAGGTAAAGGATGGTGATGGGCTCTTGTTGGGCTCTTCTCCAACATAAAGGTAACTGTTTAACCAGACAAAAGGAAGCGTTCGTGAATGATTGTGATAAAAGGGGTTAGAGGTTTAGAAGCAGGGGTGCCTCCATCTGCTTCCTTCAAACACTTTTCTCTTCTGCATTTGTAGTTCTCTGTGTCTCTTACTCACGTATCATTTCTTTTTCTACTCTTTTCTTTGCACACAACCTTCTGGGAGAAATGGAAAGGGATGGAACATCCACCACAAATGAAATGAAAAGAAGGTTCAAGAGAATATGCGTTTTCTGTGGTAGTAAAGCTGGATACAAGGCTTCTTTCGGTGATGCAGCTCTCGAGCTTGGTAAACAGCTGGTAGCACTCTAACCATACTAATGTTCCAACCAGGAAAGTCTTTCATTGTTTCATTAATTTTCCATGTCCTCAAAGCTAAGGAGAGACTTTGCATGCATGTATATTCCAACCACTCTCGTACATGTTTTGACATCTAATCATGTGTACGTTGACTGATGTTTCTTTGACCCTAGGTTGAAAGAAAGATTAATTTGATCTATGGTGGAGGAAGTGTAGGTCTAATGGGATTGATCTCTCAGACTGTCTTTAACGGTGGTTGCCATGTACTTGGGTACACCTTTTATTTCTGAACTTGCATGTCTATCAGTTTGTACATGTATAAATATCCTCTTTGCGGTCTTGTGGGGAAATTTAACCTATTTTCCTTTTTTTTTTTCCTTTTGGGTTCCTGTAGAGTGATTCCTAGAGCTCTTTTGCCCCATGAGGTACCATACTGCATATATTCCATTATTCCTCTTTTTGCATGCTTTACTTGATTTTTGCCTCTCAAAAAATGAAGCTGAAAGCTATTCACTTAAAAGGACAGACAAAACTTCATCGCAGATATCCGGAGAAACTGTTGGAGAATTGAAAACAGTTGCAGACATGCATCAAAGAAAGTCAGAAATGGCGAAACATGCTGAAGCTTTCATTGCACTTCCTGGTGATCTTTCCTATAAATTTCCCATTCTTCTGGGATAGCTGTATTAGTATAAATTTTCTTTAAATAAACCTGAATCAAAACTGTAACGTGCTCAGGAGGTTATGGTACCATGGAAGAGCTGTTAGAGATGATAACCTGGTCTCAGTTAGGAATCCATGAGAAGCCCGTAAGTTTGGTCTTCCCTTTCTTTTATTATTTCTTGCAATTTAAAATAAAGAAATCTATGGGGGTTTTCATCTGATTTTGAATTCTCTAACAGGTTGGATTGTTGAATGTCGACGGGTATTACAACTGCTTGCTTGATTTATTTGACAAGGGAGTTGAAGAAGGCTTTATTGACAGTTCTGCGAGACATATTGTGGTTATTGCAGATACAGCCGAAGAACTTATCCGGAAAATGGAGGTATAACATATCTTATGTAAAGTAAAAAATGCTGTTGATTTCACTAGTGTTTATGAAAGTTTGCAAACATTTTGTGTTGAATAATTGGGGACGATGACAGAACAAAATTGAGGACGCGGTAAGGGATGCTTTGTTATTTTGCAGGAGTACGCGCCAGTGCATGACAAGGTTGCACCCAGACAAAATTGGGAAGTGGACCAACTATCAGAGTCTACTGGAAGTGGGGAACCCCTAAGCTCTTAGGTCTTAATCAGCAATCTCTATATGCATAATTAAGATATATA